ACGTCATGTGTGCGTCGTACGTACGTCATGTGTGCGTCGCACGTTGATGACGTGAGGTGAAGTCAGTCAGATCACGAATAACGTGTGTGCGTGCGTGTGTGTGTGTGTGCGTCCGCGCGCGTGTGTGTGTGTGTGTGTGTGTGTGTGTGTGCGTCCGCGCGCGTGTGTGTTTGTGCGAGTATTTGCGTGAGAAAATCAATTAAGCCGTGACAGGCGTGCGCGTACTCCATCCAACATGTTAACCTGAGGAAATGATTGAGCTGCCCGTAGAGACAGGTGCTGCGACTCTAATAACAACACGAAGGGAGTGAAGAATGAGAGAGAAGGGTAAATAGTGGGAAGGTAAAGAAAGGGAGAGGGAGAGAGAGCTAGGGAAAGGGAGAGACAAAGAGGAAAACACATAGTGGAGGAGGCGTCTTAAACATACATGATAATTACGTTGTTTGGAATACCTACAATTACAAGTAAACCTCTATCAGAAAATACGCTAGATTTCGCAAAGTCGTTATTCGTCCATAGAGACGTCAGTTAATAGTTCTCCAAGAAACAAAATAGGCCGTATTCCCCCCGCTGACTGTCACTTCCAGGCAAAACGAATGCGTTAGAAATCATCTCAGAAAAATAACAGTACCAGGCTACCAGCGCCAACAGCTAGACATGTGGAGAGACAAGCTTAACGCTTGTCTACCGTCTGTGATCGCGTCGTGCTACATACGAACTGACACATACATATACACCTGAGAATTACCGACGACCTGTGCCCTATATGACGGACAAATCCGCATGCAAGACTGACTCCGAATTCTTTGATTCGCCAATCCCCGGGTGAACGGCTCGTACGGACGCAGTTTGAACAATAACGCGGAGTACGTCTAAGAACACTATATTCAGTAATGACTATAGAAATTATCAGGAAAAATTAGGAGAGAATTCAGTAACTGTGGGGCGTTTGCGTGCGGCGGTGACGCAGGGCCGTATCCAGCTTACAAGCACCGTGAACTAATTCAAATTCCACGAGCCTGAGCGTTCACTCAGAGTGCAACATGCTTTACGAGGTATATAAAATAATTGGACTTAACATGGCGACTCCACGTTGATTCTGCATGGCAATTTCACAGCCGCGACCTATATATTTTGTAAGCGGCCACATCGCATACGGTATATACACTTTATGCTCAGGTATAACGCACAGTCGCACACTGTTCAGGATATTCCATTGCTTAACATTATTTGTGTGATACCTATGTATGTGATAGAAACTATGGCATACCACGTGTGTGATACGATGTATGCGATACGATGTGTGTGATACGATGTGTGTGATACGATGTGTGTGACACGATGTGTGTGACATTATGTGTGTGTGATACCATGTGTGTGACATTATGTGTGTGTGATACCATGTGTGTGATATTATGTGTGTGTGATACCATGTGTGTGATATTATGCGTGTAATACCATGTGTGTGATATTATGTGTGTGATACCATGTGTGTGACATTATGTGTGTGTGATACCATGTGTGTGACATTATGTGTGTGTGATACCATGTGTGTGATATTATGCGTGTAATACCATGTGTGTGATATTATGCGTGTAATACCATTTGTGTGATACCA